TGAAAAAGCTATTTATTTGATATTTGATGATCATTCTGACATCTTTTCTATTAGGATACTTTATGAAAAATATATTGGAAATATTTAAAAGTTTGATGATAAAATAGTGAGTGAAAGAATGAAAAATAAATCATGAAAATCTTCATTTTTATACCCATGAGATTTGGATTCTCATAAAGAAAAGGACCTATTTTATATTCGGTCACCATACCATTGTTTTCTACATAGTTTGCACAGAGATGTACATTTTGTTATTATTTGAAAGTTTGGTGGTGAAAATTTTGGTGAATATTTTTAAAACAAGTATTCATCTTACTACCTGTAGGTTTTGCACTTCCATGTCAAAATGCTACATTTTTAACTCAAGAAATTGGCCCCATCCCCTTTTTACTGAATTCTTTCTTATATAGCATACCCAGTATTTTACCATTCAAACTTTCAAATATTTCCAATATATTCTTCATTAAGTATCCTTAAAGAAAAGATGTCAGAATGATCATCAAATATCAAATAGATAGCCTTTTCATAGGGGAGTCATTGGGTGTTAGAATTGTTGTATCTTAAAAGATTATTAGAGTACAGCAACATATGGGGGCCACCCGGCTTGTTGACAAGTACATATTCCAAAATAATTGCAGATGACTGCCATATTGGTGTTAAAAAAGGATTTATTTTCTTTCTATAAGTTGTTTATTGTGAATCTCATACAAAGAGCTTTTATGCCTTTACACCATAAACCTTTATAATAAAAACTATACAATTTTTCATTCATGTAGCATTTCAAAAATGCCAATGGCCCAACATCAGATTATCCTGATCCTGTTCCCTTTGACAACAGTGTCTTCAGAAAAGCAAGGAAATCAAGGAAAAGACTATTGCAGGAGGATGAAAGGTATTTTATTATACAACACAACTATGCAACAAAATATCTGAGAACATGTAAATTAGGCATAATGTTCAGTTACACATTTGAGAAATATGTGCGGAATATGTACACAAGAGAGCGTGCATTGTTCAAATTTAATATTTAATTTCATAACAGAGATGGGATGCCAGAGAAGAAACGTCTACATAAACAAGCAGAAACTGAAGGAAGAGAGATAGACACTTCTGATCATCAGGAAACAGGAAAAGGTGAAACAGAAACAGGTGTCTTTATACTTATTACTTATTTGCTTTCAGCCTAAGATATGGCACACCATATGTTAGATAAAATAAAGGTAGTTTTGTTAACATCTCTGCATGTAATACTGGATCAGGTGCAATTCGTTCAGTAAACATGTCACAGTTAGTAAACACAATAAAATCACAGAAAGGTGCAGATGTCACAAGCAACTACCCTTGTACTTGATAGTAATAGTCATGAGTAGGTGAAAGATGGATATTCCCATTATTTTCAACTAAACAAAAGTGAGGTAATGCTAAGCAATCAGAAATAGATTTATCTCTACCAGCATATGGACACTTTATCTCAATAATACCAGTAATACTTTTATCACAAAGTTTTCCATCAGGTGAAGCCCCTAAAAATGAAAAGGCAGGGTTTACTACCAGACCACAATCATGTATGTGTACAGATGTATATTTTGAGGTGTATGCAGCTTTGGCTAGAGGCTCATGGGTTTTGCCATAAGTAGTAGCAGTTGATGTAAAAAAACACTCATCAAAAATTGATGAAACAAATTTATCTGTAAAATCTTTTTTCATCTTAAGGATTTTACTGAACTGAGAAGCAGTTATTCTATTTTTTCTAGCACTAAACCATGAATCACATGCTGCTTGTCTGGTGGTATTACTTTCAAGCTTGTAGCAATCATCAAGGGTCATTGGCACTACAGCATTACACTCTTGTATTATGTTTGACGCGTATGTGGGGACATTCTGTGGGAATTTAACGTTGCCACATGGGTGGACTTCTGCTGATGGAACATCTTTATAGTTTTTCATCTGAAACAAAAAATAAGTAACATTCAAATACTAAAAGTCACCAATTTCTTTGCAGATAATAGTGGACTGGCTCTATTGGCTGCTGCAGTTAAAATCAAGGAACAAGAAATGAAAATAGAAAATATGAAAATAGAAAATATGAATGCTAAACTAGCTCATATCATGGAGGAGCAGCAGATAAAGAAAAATAAAATGCATCATAATGGAACACAGACTGATGCTTTTCCTTCTCAACATTTTTCAGTTGACACTGTTAAGGAGTCAAAAAATCTGATGGTTTTTTATACAGGCCTGAGCGGAGATATGTTTGAAACTCTGCTTTCTTATTCAATACCAGACCAATCTGACAACCCATTACACTATCCACATCGCAGAAGAAATATTCGGAACTTGTCTGCTAGAAATCAACTTTTCTTGTACTTTGCCGATTACGAAATGGCTTTCATGTTAAAGATTTGGCATTTAGATTCAAAATTTCAGTTCAGTCTCTTAGTGACATATTCAATGTTTGGATTAAGCACATGTACATGAAATTGGGCTATCTTAACTGGTGGCCTCCAAGCAATGTCATTGTAGATAATATGCCTGCAACCTATAGGCACGATTTTCCAACATTAGTTGCCATTATTGACTGCACAGAAATAAAAACGGAGAAACCATCATCTATGAAAAGTCAGAGTCAGTGTTATTCAGAATACAAGTCAACTACAACTTTAAAATCTCTAGTATGTGTGGATCCTCGAGGCTCCATTATGTTTGTTTCTAATCTTTTCTGAGGATCCATTTCAGATAATGAAATATGTGAGAAAAGTGGATTTTTTGACCATTTAAAAACATTTATTGAGCATGGTAGTTTGTCACAAGGTGATGCTATTATGGCAGACAAGGGATTTCGTATAGAAAAGGAATTGTCCAAACTTGGCTTGGAACTAAATATTCCTCCTTTTTCAACACAATCAGCTCAAATGTCACCAGGAGATGTTGCTTTGACAAGAAAAATTGCTGCACACAGAATTCATGTTGAATGGGCAATAAACAGAATTAAGAATTTCAAATTAGTTGCAAGAAAAATTAACGTACTGGGGTATATAATAATTTTTTTTAATATTCAAAGCAGTACATACTTTTCTTGTAATATGGCAGTATATACAGGCTTTCTTTTCCTGTCAGTGGCAGATTTGGCCTTGGACATGACCATTTCCATCACTGGTGCAGGGGAGATCTTTTTTCCTCTAGGTTTGTGCCACTGTTGAGGTAAACTGGTGGCTGACAGCTCAGCAGGCACTTCCTTCAAACCATACTGCTGGTAGTGTGCCAGAGTGTGCACTAGACCGTATATGTGAGAGCAATCCCCACTCATTCTGAAAGCAATAACAATAGTTTCTCCTATTTAGAAGAAATGTTTTCAGTTAATCAAAATTTTCACCAAACAGTTTAGTGATCCTACGTTCAGAAAAAAGTGTATCAGACCATATGGGCCTTTAACTATTTATTGGTTTGATATATCGATACAGACTGTGACCAAACTAAAATGCATGAGATATTTATGAAGGACCCTCCATTATCCATAGTCTAGACGATAGCTAATCATACACATAAACCAGATGGCACTAGAAGTATCTTAAATTGTGACTCAAAGACACGTTCTTCTGGAGAAATCTAGATGTAAAGTCCAAAATAATAAGGTACCTACCCAGCAACATAGCTGCACTGACTGTTAACGATCTTATTGTCAGTGCACGATAAAGTCAATGTAAGGCCATGCGGCGGGTCGCTCTTCCCCATTGACCGGTAGCACTTTGCACGCACGTCCACCTCTCCCTTCTCCTTCTGCTCACAGAAACACACCGCGTGGATATACCCCTCCACAAAATATGAGTATCCCTTTTGTTTACTACGCTTAGATAAAGTATTAGTGAAGCAACACAACGAAATTTCTCCCGGCAGAACCTCTAAACGAGTAGTCGCCATGTTTACACAAGTATGTGCTTTTTGTCCTACTTTCGGTCGTCGCTAGGCAAAAATTGAAGTGGGCGGAGCTAAGGGATCGGTGTATTGTATGTCAGTTTTGGCTAAAGTAATATTCATAACTTGCTGGGGCAGGTGCTTCTCCTGCCCTCAGAATAGACAGATCAAGTCAACGAGTTTATTGGAGCCTTGTTAACTGCTTTAATTTAAAAGGCAAAAAGTTTCAAAAAAACTTTTAAAAAGTTCAGTGCATATTCATGAGGCTGAATGAACACTTCCCAGGACAAGTGCTTTAAGGACATGAATTTTAAATGTTTACTTAGTGTTGTTTATCACACAGATTTCAATATTTTGCACTTTTAAAAACAAAAATGTAAATTTTAAATAGATTAGGGGTATTTTTTCAAATTATAATTAAATTGGAAGGGTCTTATTTTAAATAATTTAATATGTAAGAGACAAAAATAGTACTAGTACATAGAAATAAATCTTGAGCAGTAAAATAACAGAACAAGACAGAAGTGCATATAATATAATGATTAAACCGGAGTTGAAGGATTTTTTATCAAAACCCTCTCAGGCTTTAAAAAGTACAACCTGGTCATAGGCCAGTACTTCATTGTAAATATTTATTCAATTAAAAAAAATCTTGTTTTATTTATAACTAGATCTAGCAATAGGCCTATATGTCTTTCTATATTGGTCAAAATTCACACTGGATTTCTTGTGGATTGGATCGTAGGCTAACTATACCATTTTCGTTGTTTTAAGAATGAAGTATAGCCTATAACTCTTGGAATATTTCTGATGTTAGAAGTACAGCACTTATTCGTATTTTAGTTTTATTTTGACTTGTTTGCTCTGATATTCAGAATATTTAAGAAAACTTGTAGTTTTGCTAAGTCGGGTCAGTTCTTCAGGTTGGTCACGGGACGCTATAAATTATGATGAAAATGGGCTTCCATTTTTGTCGTCGTTTTGGAGATGCACTAATTTCCCCACACAAAATGGGTAAAAATTGTAGGAGACATACCTTATGATATATTATTTGAAAGTTTATGATCTCGTCTTTCTGCAGAATGTGATTGTTTGAAAATATTTTGCGTTTCCTGCGATACATAATGAGAGTAACCTACTGCAGTTGAAAAAATCGGTTTTGCCAACTTTAACACCGACTTCACGGGATTATTAACACTTTGCCAACCAGATGGGAGTCGAACGCAACATATATTTCATATCAACACGAAGCCCACTTGTTTAGCTTTTAGAATTTATATAAAACGCTGGTGATATAAACATTATAGCAATTTTGTTATAATTTAAACGCCCCAATGTTATACGCTTCAAAAATGCGAGTGTTGGCGTCGCGTTCACCTCGCGCTTAAAAAATGTATCTATCGTTTAATCACACCAACTGTTGACAAAAATACACATGAAAATACGAAGAGCTCAAAAGTCGTCCATTTTCACTCGATTTTGCTGAACGTAGAGCGAAAATGGCCGTCGCTTCAGCCAGTGTGCACGCGCAGCTCGAAATCTGCGGACAGACTGTTCTGTTTAGGCGCATGCAAGTGTTCTATTCTGTAACGTTCTCTCGAGCGCGACGTTATCATTTTGCCGGAAGAGTGATGTCGTTGCCGATCCAGTGACGTCACCATAGCGTTTCAAACAACCAACTACAAAGACAGAAAAAAATCTGCAAAAATGCACTGGTGCGCCTTATTTATCTCTTTGGCAGTTGCATTAACTGCATCAGATGCATACATTTACAAAAGAGCTGAGTGGAGCCCATGGAGCTCTTGTGCGAGGAAATGCTCTGAAATGTGGGCACGTAGATGGAGAGTTGCAACTTGCCAGCGGTGCAACAGCGACGGTTCCGGTTGCGTTAACGCCCCACCATTTTCAGGCTACAGAGGGAATTGCTGGCGCAGTGTTATGAAACACTCGGATTTGTGTCCTTTCGATCCGGAGGACTGCACAGGTAGTGGCCCTTACACAGGCGCTTGGGGGAATTTTAAGAAGAGGGGCCATTGCCGAGCGCCAAATTTCTCTCTCGCTCCCTGTGGAGAGAAGGGAAAACAGCTTTGCGTGGCGACAAAGTGCAAGAGAACCAGCAGATCCGATCCTGGCCCCGTCAAATGCTCTTGGCGCGGTAGGTACAAGAAATGTCCTTGCCTAGGACCATGCGGAAAGGATATCCCCACCGTCTATGACAGATATGGATAAATGTAAGGTAAATACCGTCACGTGCATCAGTCGTTCGTATTGAAATTTAAACTGCCGCTTCCCCTTGAAGTTCTTAACAAGATTAAAAACGAAATTCGAAAAGGATTTGGAATGAAGTTTAAAAAAGTTCGTATAATCTGATTTGTATTTAACCAAAAATCTTTTCATCTGGACGCGTCAGAAAAAAAGTAATAAATCAAACGTGTTTTTTAATAAGCTAAAACATTTTAACGTTGACCCGGAATAGATCCTGCAAGATATTCGTAATAGAGTTAAGAAGTTTAGATATTCATGAATTCATGAATTTTGTCTTACTTTGTAAAAAAATCGTCTTTCAGGTGAAAATTCTAACGGGAGTCCATAGGGAGTGAAGAAGCATTTTCAAACAGCAAAAACCTGAATGGACAAGTTCCTATCGGCTTGAAGCACAACACGAAAAAGTCAATCTGCATTGCAAGCATGGATCGCATTCACCTTTTATAATTATTAACGTTACGTGAACTGTTTTTTTAATATATATATTTTGGTTCTGTCTGTGTATAAATATAAATAATATATGCATAAAAAGGAATTGTAACAAAAATTCAAGCAAATAATAATTAATTTAGAAAGCTTGCAGGATGGGCATGCTATTATTCTGACCTACGAACAGAACAGTGACTTTGCTCCACTGATTTTTTTTTTCAATTACAAACTTCAGAAGATACACGTCAATATGTATAGGCCTAACGTGACGGTGCGATATATAACTTACGTGAAATGCTTTTACAGTCTACCGTGGCAAGGAAGACAGGCCAGATAATACATGTACAATTACCTCAGTGTTTNTCGCGGTGTAATCTTCAAATGGTCCACGGGGTAAATGTACACATTCTTAATCCGAGTACGGTAGATCTAATCTCTGGGAATGGGGTCCAATACTCCCCCGCATTTTTGATCGGGGGAAGCAATGATATGGGGGAGTACCGGTGCGCCTACATCGGCAATTTTACTGGGGATGTATCGATGCGGGGATCTATCAGTGTGGTGTGGTGTGTGTGTGTGTGTGTGTGGTGGGGGGGGGGTATTGGTGCAGGGGATTATCGACATGACCCCGAACTGGTTTGATTCATGAATATCATGTGAACAAATGATACATGTCTTAAGTTCAGTGTGATCACAAATAAGGTTTTCAGTTTATTGAGGCAACGATTGTATGGAAAAAAATATAGCTTAAATTAGATGCGAGAGTTCGCCTGACCTATTTCATTGGAAATCCCGCCATTTTATCACGACGGTAAAAGACAGGTGGAGTGAATTGTGCGGCCAGTTTCAAATTGCATCAAAACTGGCGGTAAACTATATTTGAGGATAATCATGAGGTAGGTATAGATTTTCAACAAAAGTCAGAAATTATACTGAATACATTTTTTGTCAAAAGTGTACACTTTCCCCCCCCCCCCCCCCCCCCCAACATCAAGATCAAGATCACATGTATACGTATGGTAAATATCTATGTTGCAAGTTATGGTACATACAGTGCATCATGTATATAGTTTTGTTAATAGGGGTATTGTTTATTCTGCACTGTGTGACCTACCCCAACTCATTCACATCAGTTCTGTCAATATACATACTTAATTTTGGCAAGTCTGAATAATGATACGAAGGCAGTTTAACAGCACGAACACCTGCCAAGATTCATTTGATAAGTATACTTGGTACATGCTTAATCTTCAGTGACACTCTTTTAATTGTTATACAGGTATATATCAAAGTAATTTAATTTCACCATGCAAATCTGCAGTAGAAAAGAATTGGGAACCATCATGGTTTCCTGAAAGCATCATTATGTAATTCATAGTAAACTTTGTTGTAACGGTACCTTACGTACCATAAATATATGGATGAGTGGTGGTCTACTGTAGTATGTCTTGACAAGTGAAAATGTTTATCTTTAACCATGGTCCCCAATAATTTATGTTGTAGTGGTGATTTTTTTCCATTGCAGGTAAAAACGAAGAGTTTCATGCAAGTAACAGAGAAAATGGGTGCTACATAATTTGAAAGTGATCATGGTGATATCAGTCAACCTTTCAGATATTGTTTTTTATGTATTTGTTTCCATATTTCTGTTGATAGAGATATAAAAGATATATTTACTGAGTATTTGGACAGGACTAAGGACACTAAAGGTACATACTGTATACATATACATATGTAATGTATACATATATATATACTTTATGGTCACTATAATTTTTCAATAATAGTTGATTATTGCTGCAAACCAGTAGCCGATGGTTTACCACTTAATTGTTGGCTTATAATATTCAAACAGAAGGACAGAAAAAAAGAAAGAAAAGGGAAACGGGCATTTTGTAGTCTTGTATGTATTAATCATGCCCTCTCAAAGATTTATGAGCAAAATGTTGTAAAAGAACTAGGCAAAATAATATTGTGAGTAATGTTGAAAATGACACTTCATTTTGAAATTATATATCTTATCAGACTTGATCACAAAGCTTCAATATGTTTTTGACATTTTTATTTTCATTTCATTTCATATAGTAGAACTAGTATTCACTGTGACAAATAAAGTACATTTGTTTTTAAAAAGCTGGTTGTACTTGATAATTAATGCAAATTAAATGTACTGGTACTGGTACATGTGTTTAAATATTTTTAATTTGCCAAATGTCTATAGTCATTCTTTAACATAAAACAACCAAAAGGTGCATTTAAATCATTGATGATACAATATATAGAATAGATTGTAAAAACATGCCTTGGTTTTGAAGGCAGATATATTACTATAATCATGTTAATTTTAATTATCATTTTTCTACTATTATAACTTTGATATAATTGATCAACATGTTTCAACATGTTGTATATGTTGAATAAAGAATTTTTAAGAAAGATATATTCATTAAAAATACTTCTATGCCAATGAAAATGAAGTAAGCAGTCCACTTATCTCATCAGTCTTACATGTCACACAGAAAACATATGGTATATATAAGCCAATTTTAGCTTGCACATTTACCACTGAAAATTTGGACCAAATTCTTAGATTTTGTTTTTGTACAAATATCAGTCATAACACCGTAAATTAAATTGGAACTAAAACTAAATTGGGAAGGAAACCTAAACAGAAAGTATCATATATCATTATAAAAAAAAATAATTAACGACCATGTTTAAAACAAGTAGTCGCCAAAGTGGAAATAGATGAAAATGTAATAAATATTCAGTTGGGCTTGTCTTGACGGATGCATGACGTCAAATCTTGAATTTGACACCATCTTCCCACTAAAACAGCTGAAGCATTTGTTTATGAGGATAGATTTGAATAAAAATTTAGCTACACAGTTAGGCCACACTTTTTTTATTTTTATGGATGACATCCTCTGGTAACACCGAAATCGGTGCGAGAGGGCGAAAAAAAACTGGTAAGTAAAGGAATGCTGTCAGTACACAGCTGGAAACACAAATTTACCAAAGAAACACGTATCGAACTAACAATATGTCTTTATCCATACTCTCAAAACATTAAAGCATTGTGAATACTTTGTAGAAAGGTAAAAAAAGTCATGAATAGATATGCTGCATATTACCAAATCAATTTAAGGTTATTTCATGCATTTTGTTGGAATAGCAATCAATAAAACAAATATCAAACAAACAGCGTGTCTTTATTTGTACTCTCATAACATTAAACACTATGAACACTTCACAGATATGTTAAAAAATATGCAAAGATATATGCTTAATACTACCATATCTATTAACCCTCAAGTGACCGAGTGGGGTCATTTACGACCCCAGCCATAGGATTTAATGTGCCATCTCTTTATTTTTTATTCGAATTTTCTTTCCTTGCATGAGTTTGTCAGTCTACTCATCCTACACACTTCCACAGTTTTTTGTAGGGATCAACCAGTTAGTTTGGCGTATACATCACAAACTCTTATGGGGTCATTTATGACCCCAAAGAGAAGCATTGGTTTTTAAATATATTTTTTTTTATTATTATTAAGGTTTGTGAAGATTGTGCTTGAAGTGTTACTATTAGTGCATTGCTGAATCTAATTTCAGTAGCTTTGTTGGAAATTGTTCTCATAACTGGGTCTCTCATTTTGACGGTTACAATTTTCGGGTATTTCGGAAATCTAAAGAATTTTGTCGATATCATATTATACATATATTAACAAATTGTTTATGTGGATTTTGTTTTATACACAGATGTGGTAGTAACATACATGTAGGTTGATTGAATGTGTTCTGAGTAGTATGACTTCCTTACCAGCATTAGGTATTCCCTACTCAGCAAGTCTCAGCTAATTATTCTTATTGAAGTTAGCAGGATGCTATATCAACATAAGTCAAAATATTTTTACTCAAAGTAATTTTGTAATGCACTTTTTTTCATTTAGTGTGGCAAATAAAAATAGAAATATTTCTGCAAGTGGAAACTGGTAAAGACTGTCTAAATACCGGTGTAATGTTGTTCTTAAAATCTGTGCTTGGTTATTTCATGCAATAAAAGTATTATTACCAAATACTTATTACATTAGATCATTATAAAATACTTGTCTTAGATCCTGGGAGTAGTATAGGTGTGATAAACCCTCAACAGCCTTTTATAATAAAGATCCCTGTACAGAGCACAATGGGGTCATAGATGACCCCACTTGGTCATTTCAGTCAGTAAAATGGCTTGGTCTCTTGAGGGTTAAAGGTCATTTCAGTCGATGCCATTTTGTATACTTCGACTCACCAAACTGTGGGGTGGCTTGTACGACCTTCAGCCCACCAAATACCTCGATGCCCTTCGTTGTCGTCCCTTTTTTCGCTCAAAAAAAAAAAAAAAAGCCCTGATACCAGTATGTTGTAGTGCCCAACTTAGGGTAGAACGGCCGGATAGCTCAGGCGGTAGAGCACTCGCCCTACTAGCTAGAGGTCACGGGTTTGTGCCCAGGTCGGTTCAAAATGTTTTGCACAGGATGTCCCTGGAATGTTGCGGGCGATAATCACTGGCTGCCGCCAGCCTTTCATTCAATTGTAAAGAGGTGATATCTCCATGCTCAATATCAATGACATACCAATCCAAAACGACGGCCCCGTTCTCTTTTTTACTTAATTGTTGTGTAATTTGAAAGTAATCCTAGAGATGTATTTGACGGCAAAGCGGACATATTTCCACGTGGCGATAATAGGCATGCGCAGAAAGCACATTTTCCGGCAAATTCAACAACGATGTTTGTGACAACCGACTTCGTTGGGGGTGATTTTTTTTTATTATTTTTTTTATGGAGAACAGACGTAAATCAGTGCGCGCGCAGGATGTCATCCATAAAAATAAAAAAAAGTGTGGCCTTATGGCTTTTAAACACACATGTAGGCTCTAGAATTTCCTGCACACTTTCTAATATTGAAAATTATAATGAAAGTTATGATGTTGTCATTGAAAAATGTCACCACGACGGGCAAAGAAGCAGGTTGCTTTTAAAAATTGGCATGATTGGTTTACATTCAACATACGATGGTTAACAATGACATCTCCCAATTAATATATTTTTATTAACACCCACCAGTTACAAATGGCATTGTCGAGAGGAAAGAGAGAGAATGCAGTTACCGGTGTCCCCTTCTGAAAGCCATACTTCTCAGACGAGAGAGAGAGAAAGAGAGAGACAAAAACTATTTGTGTCTTGTTCAAAAAGTTATTTTATTGAATTTTTCAAAAAACCATATGGTTTACCATTTAATACAACCTTCCATTGTTTTTGCAGATGCCATTAAAACAGCATGTGTGGCATTCCCACGTGAACCTGGCATTGTGACCGTCTTCCCAGCATACAAAGCAAATGAACAACATCCGCCTTTCATTGCAGTGCTAGTGAGCATTGGGTTTTGTGGAGATAAAATGACAAAATATGAGGGCTTCACCGTCGAATACTACTCTTGGGACATGCCAGATATGGAGGCTCAGAGGGCCCTGTCCTCCCAAGAAGCTGAAGAGAATCCAATTCCACCTGAAAAATCTGCTGAAATTGGACAAGTCATACAAAATGAGTCTGAAGATCTTTTTAATAAGCACAGGAATCTGACAATTATTTCAGCATCCCCCGTTAAAGTGACGGGAGGTAAAGTTATATGCACACCTTGTATAGTATTATATTGTCGTGCAAAACGTGTGGTACCACTGGGTGATTCTCTATTTCCAGAGTCAATTGAAGGTATTCCTGTAGATGTGCGGGAAGGTTTTGTGTCATTGTCCATGAATAACGGTAATCCACAAAATCCAGAAGAGGAGCACTTGGGTCAAAATCCAACTTTTTACAGTGATCCACTGAGAGTGGGCTGCAGCATAGGACTGGAAAATTTGAAGCGTTGTGGTACTTTAGGAATGTTTGTACTATGTGAGCAGACATTATGTTTTCTCACATGCTACCATGTGTTACGATTTCACATAGATGCCCCCTTTAAAAAGGGGGAGAAAGTCTGCCAACCATCCGATGTCGATCAAGAAACAAACATAAAATTCCGACAAGATCTTGCATCTAGAGACAAAAACAGAGTTTGTGGTGTTGTCAGAGATTTTCGCTTTGGGAATTTCAGTATTCACAATAAGCCATACGGCATTGATGTAGCCCTTGTTGAAATCAGGGACAGAGGGACCTATGGGATACCTGCAGGATTAGCTCCACAAACTTTGCGGGATCTTCACCTGGAAGAAAGTGAATTATCTTTTAATGACGCATGTCTTGGATCCGACAAAGACTTAAGTTCCCATGTTATGTTCAAATGTGGCAGGCAAACTGGTCTCACACGGGGAATGGTCAGGTTCATAAATGGTGTGGTTTGTCGACCGGATATTGTACAGTATGAGGCAGAACAAGCAGGTGTGCCCATTCTTTGTAATGAACTACTGTCATCTATGGTAGAGATATGTGGACCTAGAACTGGAGACAATGACTGTGATAGTTTTGCTGAACGTGGAGACTCTGGAGCTGCAGTGTTCTATTTAAAGGACGGGAAACCCCATATTGTGGGGATGGTGGTGGCAAAGACCTCCTATTCTGCTGCCTTAATATCACCCATTTGGCCAATATTCAAATTGTTTAACATTGAACTAGCAAGGATAGAGGAGGATATGGGAACTGAGCCAGCAATGCCTGAAATGCTGTACACGAGGGGTCGTTCAGAAAACATGTCGTAATTTGTAGACCATGCACTGAACCATAATTTATCATTAATTTTGAAATTGACTGAATAACCATAGTTTCATTATGATGAATATCGAGTGATATGGAAACATATCCAAGTTTTTTTGAAAAGTAAAAATTGTATTGTCAGTAAGAGGGATTATCAGGATTGTGAAAAGTTAAATATCTTGACAGCATTCTGTACAGTCCATGAAAGTAGTAAATAAATAGCATGGAGGAATATATGACTTGTATTTACTACATGTACCTCGTGTAACAGCAGAAGACAACAACTTTGTCACAGATATATTGATCCCTCAGTTTTCTTTCTACGACAAAATGTTGGTACTTTTGAGCCAATTTAAGAAATATTGTGAATTATTTGTTTTTTTTTTCTTATAAATAATGTAAATTTCACAAGCAAAGTTAAAAGAAGCAGATTATCCTGTAATATATGTCAATATTAAGATCCTTCAATGCCATATAATACAAAATAACATGCTTATGCTTTTAATGCTGTATTAAAGGTTCTGTTTAACAACATTTATTATTAATTATTAGTATTTTTGACCATATTTGTGTAAAACCAGTAGAAACAGGTACACTGTGCACCTATTACAGTGTCATGATCCTGTATATGTTATTATACCCATCTATGTACAAGGTGTAAAACTAGTAGAAACAGGTACACTGTGCACCTATTACAGTGCAATGATCCTGTATGTGCTATGGTAACTTATGTTATTATACCCATCTATTTAAACTAGCTTATAAATTACTCCTTTAGTTCATTCCCACAAACAAAAATGGATATTTGTAAAAAGCACTGTTTATATGTAAAAAAGCATCCATATTTATTTTATGTAAATATATTCTGATAATGTCAACACCATGTAATTTATGTAAATATATCCCCTTAAAGATGGCAACACTACAAAAACGTGGGAAGGTGTTTTAATATGTAAAAGAATAGTTTGTAAAGTATAGTTTGATAATTTTACTAGTGTATACATATAAGTCCATTTATTATTTTGATATTATTCAAGGTGGATGTTTTTATATGAAGTATTGTATTATATTATATTTACAAAAACACTGTATATATGTAGAAAGTTTTAATAAGCACTTTATGTTTATATATATTCCCTGAAAGAAGACAGCACCACAGATATTTATCAGGCCTACCCAACTACCAGACTCGGCACATAAGGTTCCTGAATTAACCGGTATATCGGACCACACTACCCGTTTTCAAAGGTGTGTCAGATCGCATTTCGGAGTATCAGTCAGAACACCGACAGGATGAGCCGGCAGTCGTCCTACAAAATTTGTTCTGGGGTATGATACACCAAAATGCGATATGACACACCTTGAAAACGGGTAGTGTGGTCTGATATACCGGTTAATTCAGGATCCTTATCATGTGCCGAGTCTGGTAGTTGGGTAGTGTGGTCTGATATACCGGTTAATTCAGGATCCTTATCATGTGCTGAGTCTGGTAGTTGGGTAGGCCTGTTTATGTGTGCAGAAAGTTACAATATGTTTTATGTACAGGTATGATATTATAGTATACTTTGTTCTCATTCACAGAGTATAGATTGACAGATATCTTAACTTGCTTGTTTATGTATATAAGTTCATCAATTAGTTTTACATTACCCGTTGTAGATATTTGAATATTTAAATTTTTTTGTATTTTTTAACACTGTATATGTGTAAAAAGTTTTAATATGTAAGTTAAGTAAATGTATTCAGTCAACAATATGAACATCATATATCATATCTTACTTCAGTATATTTATATATTCCCTCAAAGATATCAACAGCATAAATATATATGTATATGGAAAGATGTTACAATATGGAACATATTGAATGTATTTGATCTAATATGAACATACATGTACATTTATGTATATTAGTTCATTAATTAGTTTTAGATTATTCATGGCTTTTATTAAATCACCAAAAATATATACGAAAAGATGGTTCAATATCCAGCATATGTAAAGATATTATAGGGTCACTTACAGAGAACTTAGATTGAAAGATGTTTTAATTTAATAGCTATTGTATGGGTGTGTATACGAGTTCATTTATCAGTTTTAGATTAACTATGTGGTTTTGTAAAATTACCACAATGTGGACCTTGCAAATAAACTAATTTCTAATTTAAGTTGTCTTACTTGTATCTTTAGAACATAGGCCTTTATATCGCCTTTCTTTTATGATACTTTATAAAAGCAAATTTTATTATTTAAAGAAAGGGAGGGTTCCAGATGTCAGACACTGAAAATTATAACACTTCAATACAACATAATAGTCAAAATTGCTGCCCAGATCACAGTGCTAAAACGTATTTTGATAAAAAAGAATCCTCAGAGAGACCACTAGCCTCCAAAAGCAAAGCATATGTTCACCGTGATACAGTTGCTATGAAAGGTAATTCAAATGCAGTCGTAGAGAATATCTTATTCCAAAAAACTCTATATCTGGGTACCAATGTGTCATTTGCCCAATATCTAAAGTAGCCTCAATTCCCAGATATCTTCAGAGAGAGAGAGTAGAGCGTTTATTAATTGCCTCTGCTTTATAAACACTGAAACCTCTTATTTTAACTTCTTCAAATTTTAGTTTCCAGTAAACAACACAGATACGGGGAATTTATATAAAATAATAATAAAAAAACAAACGTAATACTCGCATAAATAAAAAATACATATTTGATGATCTGTAGAAAATATAGAGCCTAAAAGTGCATTTATCAACCTGAAATGTATTAAGTTGAAGCCGTTTGTTATTTTTTGTGTAAACCTGCGCATAAATACCCAGTACATCGACTGCGTATTCTTTCTGTCTCCCTACCGTGAGTTAATAGATTTGTTTGAATTAGAATAATAAGATTGTCTTACTCAGGGGCGAATTTAGGGAGGGGGGTTCAGTGGGGTCCTGACCCCCCCCCCCCCCCTCCTTCGGTTTCTGAAAAAAAATCACACTAAATATTACCCTTTTGAAATGAGATTTTTAAGTTGCTGATTTATAGTTCTTAACCGTTCCAAAAGGCACCGTTTGGCATTTAAAACACCAAAATATTTGGGGGCCCTTCAGTGGTCCCCCAACCCCACCACAAGGGGGCTGAGGGTCGGCTTCGAATCCGAGGCCTGACATTTGTAAAAGACACTGTCACCCCCTTCAAATCCTGGATCTGCCCCTGTCTAACCACCTGTATAATGCGTTCAGGAGACAAAACTGGTGTCTTCTTTGTGAAATTGTTTGGCAAATATGCTTAGGCGGGGATGTTTTTTGTTCTTTATCCTTTACCAGCTACGCCACAGATCAAACACGAATAAAGTCAGTAGGTAATGGCGGCATGAATGTCATACTTCTCAGCAAGTTTTTTTTTCAAAAGTCACGTCGTCCTTATCACTATCAGTGATCTCTCAGTAATCTTTCTTGAATTTAGAATTTAGGGCAGCTGATTCATAGTTCTCAACCGTACCAAACGGCACCGTTTGCTCCCCAAAACACTCCACGGAGGCCGAGAGTCGGCTTCTTATCGGAGGCTTGTCATTCATAAAAAAAAAAACGATCACGTAAGATTGCCACCTGACATTTGGGCGCCTTG